ATTGCAGAGCATGATTTGATTAGGTCGTTTACTGCGTAGCACACTCGGAGCAACGAGGATGAGGTTGATCAACTGTCCAGTTTCTGATGCTAATTTATGATTTTATGACATACATTGTCGTCATAAAATGACACAACAAATATCCCAACAATTTGGAATATTGAGATTAGTCTTGTTCGCTAATCACTCTCATTGATTATTTTTGGTCACTGCTACGCCATCAGCAGCTGTAGAATATATTTATGGATAGAAATATAAGCAGAAAACGCTACAGAGGTCCAAGAAGCCCAATTGTCCTTCAACTTAAAATCAACTAAACTTATTATAGTCTGCAAGTTATAGCATATTACCAACACATTTGCATTATGAAAAGAGAGACTTTAGAGCTTGAGAGGTCAGAAGTAAACAAATGGAGCGTTGTGTTTCTGTTTATGGAACAAATCTGTCTAAACAAACCAGAGAGAGTAGATCAAGTTTTACTTTCAAGAAAATAATAAAATGCAATATTCTATCTATCAGGGTATAATGAAGCATGATGACTCAGTAGAGTGCTTTAAACAAGGATGTGTCTTGTTTCTTTCTTCATTATTGTTTTATATGCAGTTTGAGTTTATGTCGCTTATGTTGTAGCAAATTGACATTATTGGAGAAGGAGTACACTATGCATATATTTTAAAACTATTCCAACATACAAACAAACGATAAATAACTGAAAATAAATAGTCTTGCTGTTTCATTGTATGCAGCTGTGGACGGCTGATGTTTTCCGTTTTGTGTCCCGTCCCAGGAGCCCAGCTGGGGACCGTCGTGGCTCTGCCTCTGTCTGGTGAAATCTGCTTCTACATGGGCTGGCCCTACGTCTTCTACCTCTTTGGTAATGACGCCTGTCGAATGCGGGTAGTTGAAGAAAAGTCGCTCTGCTAATCTGCTACTTGGGTTACATCACTGCTTTTTAAACGGCGAACAACAAAGACTCCCACAAGTTATTCTTCTTTCTGTCATATATTAAATCAGGCTGTTTGTGAATTTCTTATAAGATGTTAAGTGATATCAAATTACGACAATGAAGGTCAACAACATTGGATGTTTTATCAATTGCCATTGAGTGACGAAGAATGTCAGGAATGAATCGACGTGGTATCAACGAAGCAGTTTGAGTTTGCTGTTTGTTCCTCTTTGTTTTGTGGAAACAGTGATTAAGCAGACCGAAGAGGAAACAGCTTGTTGATTAAAACCATCCACAACTTCCACTGCATCTGCTTCTTGCTGACTTGCTGTAAAGTTGCTTCGCTGTCCTTTCCGAGTCTTAGAACCTATAAAAGTCACACGTCTCTGAGTATGTGCAGTCATGTGGGTGTTGAAGTTTTGAGTTGTGGTGAGGCAAGCATTTGTGTCCATGTGTGTCCAGGTGCTGTCGGCGTGGTGTGGTTCGTCCTGTGGGCTTTCCTCGTCTTTGACAGTCCAAACAGTCACCCTCGGATATCAGAGCAGGAGAGGCTTTACATCACCAACTCTCTGAAAAATGAGGTATCACCTCGCACACATTCCTTTGTTGCAAATGTTATTTTCTTATCTGCCTTCTTCAGCAGCTTGGTGACGAAACTCGCAGTGAATCTGCAGTTTACAACAGATACCTTATATGAAATAGTCAGCCACAGTTTGCATCAACTTAACAGGCGTGGTTTGTGTAGATATGTTTTATAACCTATGAAATTTAAATAAATGCTGCCTTATCTATTCCTTTGTATGAACACGGTCAGCAGAAATACTCAGCTAGGTTAACTGGAGATTAGTTTCATAAAATGTAGAACATTTAACCCTAAAACTCACCTCCTGCAGCCACCAGCATCTGTAATTTAAAGAAATATGGATAGTTCAACTTATTGTACAATTTAACTTATTCTGCTGATTAATAACTTATTATTGTCATGTGAGATGCAAGCTAAGATAATTTGTCAAGGTTTGATGCGCTGAATGATTTTCAAATGTAAAAATTGCAAGAGCAACAACTTATGGAGCTCCAAAAGTGCCTTAATTGTTGTTTAAAATGAGAAATGATTTATTACGGGGTTCGTCCGAGTGCCTGAAATCATTGAAAATGCTTGAATTTTACAGTGGGAAAAGAGTTTGAACCCACTGTTCAAACTCTTTAAAACCATCCACAATCAGTGACAGTGATTGCTGTCACTGATTGCTGTGACAGTGACAGCAATCACTGTCACTAGTGATTGCTTTTATTTTATTTTATTAAAGCCAATTATATGCTTTCGTTAGTCTCTATTGTTGCATGGTGTACTCCAACAACAGAGTACACCATGCAACAAAAGTGGAAATGAGGCCATTGTTGCTAAAACTTACACCTGCAGGGGGAGACAAAGAGCCTAGAATCACCTTTTCACTTGTTTTCAAGTGTAACATTAAACTTCCTCTTCCTTCGACATCTTTGTTTTTTTGTTTTTTGAAAATGAGAAATAAAACTTTCAATTAATGCACCATCTTTCATTAAAGGTTATCAAACACCAGATATAACTCAAACTATGGAAGCATTTTCGTCCCGATTAATAAGCAAGACGTCTCTTCTACCACACACCAAAGAGACGACGCAAACAAAATTTCCACATTGTTTTGTTTCTTCCCAGCTGTCTACCTCTGCGGGCCACATCCCCTGGCGAGCCATCGTAACCTCGATGCCGCTGATGGCCATCGTCGTGGCTCACTTTTCCTACAACTGGACCTTCTACACGCTCCTCACTCTCCTGCCGACTTACATGAACGACATCCTGGGATTCAGCATACAGCAGGTGAGAAAGGCTGCGCGACGTCTAAAAAATAATGGCATGTTTTGTTATAGATGATAAACGCAGGCAGGAAATGCCAGATAGATTCTGTTAAAAGGACGAATATTTTGATGTTTGTCCTGACAGAATGGGTTTCTCTCCGCTCTGCCGTACCTGGGCTGCGCTCTGATGGCCGTGCTGAGCGGCCAAGTCGCCGATTACCTGCGAGAGACTCGTCTCTACTCTACCATCTTCGTCAGGAAGTCCTTCTCTCTGATTGGTAATGAGAAACATTTAAAAGCATGGCTCCAACTAACCATTATTTTAGTAATTGCTTATTCTATTGATTGTTATGACGATTAATCGATTAATCGGGCTTTTTAAAACTTGGCACATTCTTCAGATTTTTTGTTCAACCACATAAACTTTTTCTTTTTTGCATAAAATTAGAAATGCATTAGAATATGCAAACAAACAAATAATTCATTTCCTTTTTTAAATAAAAATATAAACATTTTACATAGCGTTCATTCAGTGAAATTGAACCAGGTGACGTTAATGCTTTGCCACTTGGAGAGTTTTGGGTAAAACATATTTACACAAGTGTTTTATCTTAAATGCAAAGGTAAAAACACTCTTATCTTCTGAACAGTTTTGGTTTAATTGCCGCTTTGAATATGGTGTTTTTTTGGGGTCTGTGGGCTTCACTTGACGATTAATCGATTACTAAATTAGTTGACGATTATTTCAATAATCGATTCATCACGATTTATTGCTTCAGCCCTGTTTTGGTTTTGATTGAAGAAAACGCTGTTTGTTTTTATGTCAGGTATGATTGGGCCCGCCGTGTTCCTGGTGGCAGCAGGTTACACAGGCTGTAAGTACAGCCTGGCCGTGACCTTCCTCACCATCTCCTCTGCTCTGGGCGGAGTCTCGGCCTCCGGCTTTAACATCAACCACCTCGACATCGCTCCTTCGTAAGATGATGTTCGCGAACCAGTCTGCCCATCCCGCTCTGAGAGACGGCTTTTCAGAACTAGTCTACATTTTATAACGCATTGAAATGTTATTAGACTGTTTCAAAATATTGTTGTCACGCACATTAGTGAATGTTGATCAGTTGTGACTTTCATGCATGCATATTTTTCTAGGTATGCCGGTATTCTGCTGGGAATCACCAACACTTTTGCCACCATTCCTGGCATGGTGGGACCAGTCATAGCAAGAGCTCTTACACACAATGTGAGTTGGCGTTTCATGACTGAAAGCAACTGGTTTTTTTTAATTATCATTATTTCAGGTTAAGACTTTTTTTTTTCTTTCCAAGCACACCAATAAAGATGACCTCATTAGAGTCCCTCAAACTGTGAACAATGAGTCTGAAGCTTTACTCTTCCATCTAAAAGATGTGCTTTTCAACATTTGACCACTTGGGGGCGGTCATCTTCAACCTGGGACGATTTTTCATTTTTTCTATGCTCGATTTACATGAAAAATTAAATTTTTTTTCTGCAACAACTGCTTAAAGTTTTTATCTACTTGTTTGATTTCTGAGTGGAGACCCAAAGCAAACACTTCTGATAACATTAGAAGTTACTGCTCCATACACACAATTCTTTAAAGAATGCCACCATTAATGTTTAATTTACTACAGGAAACCAAGATGATGGCTTCACTAGAAGGAAGTCACAATTCAGCCGTTCTGTCTGTGCAATTCAGTGATCAAAACTGCATCATTTTTATCGTGCAGAGAACAGATGTAAGGCATTTAGAGAAATGATTCAAACACTTTTCTAACCGATCTGCTACTTTTATTTAATTTAAAGAGTTATTTTGATCTGAAACATTGCTTTGTGTGTACTGCTGTTCATCCATTTCTGTGCCGATTGTCTTCCAGAACACTATAGAGGAATGGCAGTTTGTGTTTTACATCGCCGCTGCCATCAACGTGTTTGGCGCTCTGTTCTACGCCGTGTTTGGACGAGGGACGGTCCAGCCCTGGGCGGTCCGCACAACCTACTCCCACGGTGACTGATTCGTCCTCACGTCCATTCAGGGAGAAAACTCGGTAAGACGTTTGTGCTGATGTCGAGCAGCAGAGTTCATATTTTCTGACGTAGCCATACTAAAGAAGACCCATATTTTAATAACGTGAAAATCTGATTTAAAAAATTTTACCTTATGATCTTAAGAAGAGAAGAGCTAAAAACAGTATATTTTTTTGTTCCATAGAGGACAGTAGCTGGTTTTAGTTAAAAGGTTGGCAGTTTCACAGCCACAGACTAAATGTTTGAGTGAAAAAGGCCAGTAAATGAGTCTGCATTGTAACCAGTTATCTAAGCTTCATTAGGAACTTGGCACAATGTTCTCCAAGGCAATGACGCTACAGAAGCAATAATGTTATCATTGCTTTCATTGTGTTGTCATTCAAAAATCCTACAGTAAATCCGTTTCTTGTTTTTTTTTTTTTAAACCAACAAAGATTTACACTAACAAGAAGGTTTTTTTTTCCCCCCCACTGTTTTGTGTAAAGTTTAGTAAAACATTTAACAACCCAGATGACATAAACTGTAATTTGTCACATTTTTATCTACATTTTAACTCTGTACCTGCCTCCTTTTGCATATGTGAGGTGGTTTACTTTAGGTCTTGGACTAAAGAGCCGGGGTGTGTTTGTTTTACAGATTTTCCTTTAGAAAGAAAAATAATATCTGAGTTCATCTAATGAGAGAAAAGAAACTAGCCTTATGTCAAGGTCGCCTTAAAAAGTCTTTATATTTCTGTTTGTTGTGGTTGCCTTTTTTTGCGATGTAAATGTGTTTCGGGAATTATGTCTTAATGTTTACTCTTTTTCTTTCTTTGTTTAATTGAGGGGTCACCAGGGCCCTCCTTGTAGTTTTTAGTGCTCATCAGATGAGGAAAAACGGGTTACAGTATTTCTTGAAAATAAGTTTTTTGTTTCTCAATAAGGGAATTACAGCTAAACTCTAAATCAGTGATTCAGATGAAGGGCTCTGTTTTCTCAGGTGTTTTATGCTATATATGGATTGAAAAGTCAAATAGTTTCAGTGTCAATTGAATTAGATCTAATTTCTTAAAATTAAGTTTACTTTAGTTTTTTTTTAATTGATATGTCTCATTTAAACATGTGAAACCAATGTGTTATTAATATTGCTTTTCACAAGTAGCACCACAATGGAAGTAGAAATAATGCACTTATGCCTTAATTAAGACACTTGTAGTCCAGCTCTTTAGACATATTCTGATTATATATATTCTTAATCTTTGCTTCTGTGTTGATATACAAGGAATCAAAGGGACGTTGTGTAATATGTTGTACTGTAAATGGATATGATGGTAAATAACTGCAATGGAAACATTCCAGAAAAATGTCTTTATTCACCGTCATGTAATGGAAATGTATCAAATACAGCCAGTGACAAATCTGACGTTGCTTTGGGTTTTCATTTCCAAAACAGTTTATAAGCCCATAAAAATCTGCGAAGACTTTAGAGGTTTAACATCAACGGACAAACAACATCATGAAGACCAAGCAGCACCAGATGTGATTGGGATGGTGACATGTGAATGAGGGCTGTCTTTGTGAAGCATTCTCAAGTTTCAGGAAATTTGGGGAGTATTGCTTAATTCCTCACCCAAAAGTTGAATTAAAACTAGCACAACTCCAAACCTGCCAGGATACGCTCGCCAACCTCAAGGGAACTCATCATTTATGCTGGAGCTGCAGGAAACCAAAATCCATTGACGGGTCAGCTGTCATGAACTCCACAAACCATGTCTTTCTTCAAGAGCTTTAAGCAGAAGGTAAAAGACAGTTTTTTCTTTCATAAGCTATGTGGAGAAACAGAAAATATGTAGAAGAGGAGGAGCAGGGATGACATTATCTTTTTGTTCATCATGATGCTCCCCATCAACCTTCATTGTGGACGTGTAACGCTGTTGTGATGCATGCCCTCAAAAGTTTGCAGCTGTAACTTTAGAATGTGTGACATTTAAATTGTATAAATACTTTCACAAATTATGCACAACTTAGTATATTTTGATCAAATCCACAAATATTTCAAGCAAATTGTGAAATTGGATTTACCGCTTCACAGTTGCAGTAATCATAAATGATTTACTATGAATGACGCCTGGAACTGAACTTCTCGTCAGTGGCTCGTGGCTGTTGCGTTAATTGTCGGACAGGCGCAGTAGACATGCTTGAAGGACGGCTGGGTTCATGGTGATCCAACTACAGAGCGTCCGGAGAGCAGTTTACCTCCTGTGTATTGTTGCAGCTTGCTAAGCGACTTTTCTCCGTCCGGACAAGCTTCTTAAACACTAAAACAATGCGCATGTGAGGCATTTTAATTATCGGACGCGCAGTCCAAAAAACAAACAAACAAAAATCTAAAAACTAATTTTTCTCCACTTAATGGCAGACACTGCTTTCAAGATAGTGTTACGGCACAAATGAAACTGATAACGACGGCTTGTTGATGTGGCTGTGCTCTCTATTATAAAGCGGTTAGCGAGCAGTTTTCCTCGTTGGGATGCTGAGCAGAGCCTGTTGTGCGCAGTTACGCAACACCCCCGCCTGTCCTGAGAGCTATAAACGGATCAGCGTCTCTCCGCAGCCTCTGCGCTCCTGCTGCCAACCTGACACCGGCCAGCTCTCAGGTACGACGCACCACATCAAGACAAAAACATAATAAATAAAACGACACGCATGGAGGGACGATTCGTTATAGTTCTGATGAACATCTCTATGAAGCTCTCTCTTTTTTAAGCATCATCCCGGTGTGTGTGTGTGTGTGTGTGTTTTGTTTTCATAGAGATGTGATGCAGAATGCAACCTGCTGGTATTTAATACGCACTCAGTCGTCCGCAAGCGAGCAGATGACAGAACATGGCGGAGGGCTGGCAATTCCCCTTAAATCCCTCAGCCGTTAGTTTTACCGCAGTGGCCGCGCTTTTTTAGGGATTTCCCCGCAGTTTGAGCAGCTTTTGTTTGCCGATGCGCACTGCGGCAGTGGCTATGACGTTATTTCTGGGGCATCTATTAAACCACGAAAGTGGCAGCTGTCCTGGGACTGATCCACTTCGACCTGTCTGGAACAAGATCATGTGAGGATACATGTTGCCACCGGAGCCGCCCCGTCTCGGATGCAGACAGTGGCAAACTGCATGAATAATTAAATGCCAAACTTTGCCCGTGCAAGGAGGAATTGTGATGTTTCACTTGATTAACGCAACAGTCGTGCAGTTATTACAGTCTGATCTGCATTAGCCCTCATGCAGAGCTCTGCAGTGTCAGAGAAATGGCTGCTGTACTGCCAGAGGGTTGGATCTGACAAAATGGTGGATTCTGGCTTGGAAGGGAGCAAGTACCGAGTCTGCAGTGTCAGCTGATAGACTCAGATGTGTTGAAGACAAGTTGAGATGTAAAGATGAGCGCAGGAGTTTGGATGGATGTAGGATCAGAGAGTGGGAGGGGCAAGGCGTCTTGTGTTCAGACTCAGTGTTCAGAGGTCTGACTAGCAGCATCTTGAATCATTTCTGAAAAATTAGATATTAAACATTTGAGCATCTTTTTTTTGTTTGTTTTCTGAGAACATAAGCACATTTAGCTGGAATCTTCCCTTAAAATACCTGCAATCAACTGCTTTGCCAATCAAATACATCTCAATAAGTCACCATGTCATGCAAAGGTTAACTTGCTTTGCCAATTTTAAAAATGAAGCCTAAAAGATTTATCAGTGATATTTCAAGGGTTAATTACATGTAATCTTAATCATTCAGGTTTACAGCTGATGAAAAGCAGCTTCACGGAAAATTAGATTTACACAAGACTGAATTAAAAGATTTTTAATTCTGAAATGTAGCACAGAGGTACTGAGGTGTTGGATTCCCGGCTTGCTTCAACGGCGACTCTATAGGTTCTCTGTGGAGTTTAGGTCAGGAACGTTTGTTGGCCAATTAAACAGTCACGATACTATGTTAGCATTAAAGCAGATATTGGTACCTTTGGCTTGAGGTGCCTTGAAGACAACTGTGTTGACTTTGTACCAGGCTCCTCAAGTTATCACTGGCTTTGCAACTTTTCCATTAATATCCTTGGTTTTGTGTCAGTGAGTGTCTACTGGGAAAGTCTTCTCTATATCTTTGTTGGTCATAACATTTCTGCATCAAAAATCCTTTCCGGTATAATGAGTGTCTAATATGCACTAACTTTTTAACGTGTACATATCAAATGTACATTCCTAATGTCTGGTTCATCCATTTCCTGATCTCGATAACTCAACCACAGCTTTAGCGGACTAGTGACTTCAGCCGCCGACTGTGGTCGTCATGGGAAAGGAGAAGCTCCACATCAACATAGTTGTGATCGGCCATGTGGACTCTGGCAAGTCCACCACTACAGGACACCTCATCTACAAGTGTGGTGGCATCGACAAGAGAACAATTGAGAAGTTTGAGAAGGAAGCTGCTGAGGTAAAGTAAATGGGGACAAGTTAAGAATAACCCTTTGATGCAAGTAGAGTGGCTTAGAGCTTAGAAATTGTCTTGTTTAAGACAGTCACTTGTAATAAAAAATGATCTTGATTAAAAAATGTTTTTTTCCAGATGGGGAAGGGCTCATTCAAGTACGCCTGGGTGCTTGACAAGTTAAAGGCAGAGAGGGAGCGTGGCATTACGATCGACATCTCACTTTGGAAGTTTGAGACCAGCAAGTACTATGTTACCATCATAGACGCTCCAGGCCACAGGGACTTCATCAAGAACATGATCACTGGCACCTCTCAGGTCCGCAAAATGAGTAATTACCCCAACTCTGAATGAATTAGTGGATCTGTTTTTATAACTGTTCCTAAAATAGTATTCAAAAGCCATCTTGGAGCGTATGTTCAAGATAATTTGCAATCGTTTTATAATAGTATTTTTTTTTTTTTTTTTGTACATCCTTAGGCTGACTGTGCAGTGCTCATTGTAGCGGCAGGTGTAGGAGAGTTCGAGGCCGGCATCTCCAAGAACGGACAAACTCGGGAGCATGCTCTCCTGGCGTACACACTCGGCGTGAAGCAGCTGATTGTGGGCATCAACAAAATGGACTCAACCGAGCCAAACTACAGCCAGAAGCGCTACGAGGAGATTGTGAAGGAAGTGAGCACCTACATCAAGAAGATTGGCTACAACCCAGACACTGTCGCCTTTGTGCCCATCTCTGGTTGGAATGGAGACAACATGCTCGAGCCAAGCCCAAACGTAAGCGTCTGACTCAACTCAAACCAGCGATGACGGTCAACAGCACCGCAGTAATAGGGAAGAAACTATCGTCAGGCGTACAGAACTTGTCACAGCAAAAGTTAGGCGTCTTCAACTGATTACTAGCATATTATACCGTCTATAAGTTCGCATTTCCATTGGCTTACGTAGTTTTCTATTAGATAATTTAGGATGTTTTGTGAATGTTATTTTTTTTAACAGTTAATTTTCAGATTTGTTCCATTTTTATCTTCTAGATGACATGGTTTAAGGGGTGGAAGATTAACAGGAAGGATGGCAGTGCATCAGGGACCACACTATTGGAGGCTCTGGATGCTATTCAGCCCCCAACGCGCCCGACAGACAAACCTCTACGTCTTCCCTTGCAGGATGTCTACAAAATTGGAGGCATGTAGCGCATTTACGAACATAGAGATAAAAACTCTGTTAGCACATGAGATGGAATTGAATTTTTTTAATACTGCATTCAGTTTCCTTGTAGGACAGCATGTTTTTTATTTTTTTTTTTTAAAGTCCAAAGGTGAACCATTCGATGTCTTTCACCAATGCTCATATTGTGTGGCCTCCTCTTCCTCAGGTATTGGAACTGTGCCTGTGGGTCGGGTGGAAACAGGATTACTGAAGCCTGGCATGGTCGTTACGTTTGCGCCCGTTAATGTGACCACCGAGGTGAAGTCTGTGGAGATGCACCATGAGGCACTGATGGAGGCCCTCCCAGGCGACAACGTGGGCTTCAACGTCAAGAATGTGTCGGTGAAGGACATTCGCCGTGGCAACGTGGCCGGGGATAGCAAGAACGACCCTCCACAGGAAGCTGCCAACTTCACTGCTCAGGTAGACACGACAAACTGTATTTTATAGAAATTAATACCTGTGTAGAAACATGAAACAATCTTCTGAAGTATTTATAGCATCAAGTTATTTTTGAAGTATGGTCAAAGAAAATATTTCCATTACTAAGTCACAGTGATAGGCAGTGGGATGTTCTTTTTTAGTCTATAAAACCTCAAAGGAAATTAGTAAAACACTATGTAATTACTGTTAAATCAGAACAAAAAAACAAAAAACAAAACAAAAATATAATTCTATTTACAGGCCATCCACTTTGCTTTGTAGGTGATTATCCTCAACCATCCTGGGCAGATCAGTGCTGGTTATGCTCCTGTGCTGGACTGCCACACTGCTCATATTGCCTGCAAGTTTGCAGAGCTCAAGGAAAAAATTGACCGCCGCTCCGGCAAGAAGCTGGAAGACAATCCCAAATCTCTCAAATCTGGAGATGCCGCCATCGTTGATATGATTCCTGGCAAGCCTATGTGCGTTGAGAGCTTCTCCGAGTATCCTCCATTGGGTAAGTTCAACTGGGAAGGGCTTGAATGACTTGAAAAGCTCTCAATGTCTCGCTTGGCTCCTCAAAGGTATCCAATACGGCACTGTTAAGTTGTGCTCTGCGTCGTTTTATTTTTCCCTTGAATTTCCTTCACAGGTCGTTTTGCGGTGCGCGACATGCGTCAGACTGTGGCCGTGGGAGTGATAAAAGGTGTGGAGAAGAAAGTGTCTACCACTGGTAAAATCACCAAGTCTGCTCAGAAGGCCCAGAGGAACAAATGAATGTTGTGCTGCTCTGCCGACCACAAGGTCTCCCAAGGCAGGACAGCCCTCATCCAACTCCATCTTATGATTGGCCACTTCAACTTAATAATCAAAGACTGGTTAATCATCACAATGCATCGCAAAAGCATTCGAAGGAAAGAAAGATGTTAGATCCTCAATCCATGTTGCCATACTCCCGAATCCATCTCAGTGGTTAGACTACCATTGTGTAACATGTGGAAACAAGAAGTTGAACAAAAAAAAAAAAAACATGGTACTAAATGTGAGCTGTTAATTTGGTTTATGGTAATACTTTTCTGTGATACTGAACAAATAGACTTACACTGTAAACCTTAGCTGTCTGGAGTTATGGTCCTGGGTCTCTTTACATGTTCTGCTTTAAGTCTTCACACCTACTTACTGCTCAATGTGAACCAATAGCAAGAGTTAAACATGTTAGCTAGAACCGTTTTAGTGTATTAGTGAAACATCTGTTGTATTTAAGCTTTAAATACCACTTAGAAGAAGTTTAAGCCTGTCCTTGTGAAGGGACTCAAAACAGCCTCTCTTTTTGACTCCTGAAGCACTTTGATTGGCATTTTTGCTAATTTTGCACTTTCACCGAGGAATACTGAATTGGCATAAGCTACTGCACCTTATTGTGAGACGGCATGAGCCTCTTTGCAACATTAAACATCTTTCAACCAAAGTACTTTGTTGTCTGGTAGTACTATGTTTGTATCTGAAGCTATGCATTTAGAAAGTCAGAAAATTCCATTAATTCAAGCTTATAGCCACAGGATGTAGCTGTTGTCACAGGAATAAAAAACATCTTTTTTTTTATAATGATGGAAAAAAAACTGCACATAAATCCACTCAATGAAAAGATATCTAATCTGTGAGAAAGTAAATGACTGAATACAACTGCGCATGGAAGAGCTCGAGGGCATTCAACCATATATGGTAGGGGCGTGTAACAGGAAGCCTGGCAGTATATTTTCAGCAGCGCGGTTTCATTGCTTTCATTTCCTCATCATGAGTTGCAGAGAGAGATCTCGTCAGGCAAAGAGCCCTGACTCAACACAATGTTCGGACTCTAGAAAGGAGAAACGGGAAACCATCGGGAGGAAAAAGAAAGAGGATCCTCTGAAGCCAAACCATGCCAAAGAAAAGCCGCCTGTGAAGGAAACCACTAAAGAAAAGGGCAAACATTTGACGAGGGAGCATAGCAGAGAACAACAAACGCCTCCAGAGAAGACTAAAACCCAAATCCATTCCAGCAGGTCCACATCAGTGAAAAAACCTCCTTTGCATAGAGACCTGGAATCACAAGCTACAACTATGAGGTCAGAGACGGCAAAGGCTTCTCTCAAGACCACTAAACCTAAAGCTGGTGGTAAGGAAGAGACCCTAACTCGCTGTACCAAGGCTGCAGGAAAGATGGAAGGCGCACAACTTGAGGAGAAAAAGATAGATAGACCTTCAGGGGGGAAAAAAGAAACAGCTGCTGAAAAGTCCTGCGATACAGAACATGCTGACAAAATAAAGCCAAAGATGCTGAAGACAAGATCAGTTTCAGAGGACTCTGTCCTACAGTCTACTTTAGAAAAACTGAAGATTAGGGCAAAGGACAAATCAGATACGAGTAAAGTTGTGAATGATTTTATAGAAAACCTAATTAGGCATTTAAAAAAGGAAACCATATGTTTTCAAGACGTAGACAAACCGCTGCGCACAGGAAGCTATTATGAAAACCTTAAGGTGAGATACAACTGCTAACATTTTCTCAGATTTATTGAATGTGTTCCACAGCACAAACATTTTTAGAAATGCCATCATCTGGTAACCATAACGTCACTAAGTTATTTATGCCAAATGACATTCTTGTTCACACAGATCTTAGATCCTGACGAGTTTGACGTTATGCTTCCAATGCCGGTTGAACGAGTTCAGGTCGAACCATTTCGGGAAAACGGAGCCTTCTACAGCGTGGCATTAAAACGTGGCAATAGCCATTTAATGAAATTCCAGCAGAATGATGTTTTATCCGCAAGCGAAATGCTTCAAGAGTTCAGAAACGAAGTGAAGAAATTTGCCAAAGGATTTCCAGGTTAGTGCCCAACTTGGGGGGCTTTGTTCTGCGTTTGCATTTTATGTCAAATTAACCTAATCAAACAAATATTTTACAGATATTTCATGAATATATCACATTTCCAGTAATTACATGCATTTTTCAGGGGGTGAGGTGAATATAAACCAGTCATCATTTTGTAATGAAAACTGTCATTCTTGCTTTAGCGTGGACGATTGAGAAAAAAAAAGGAGGCTGCCCTGCAGTGACCTTGACCCATAAAGTGGGCTCAGTCACCATTTCCCTCGATGTTGTTCTCTGTCTCAAAGTGACATCAAGCTGGCCGTCTTTCACCAGTGACGGCTTGAAAATTGACCAGTGGCTTGGGACTAAAGTGAAACGGGAGTACAAATGGAAACCTTACTACCTTGTGCCAAAATACGAAGGTAGAGGCAACGTGGAAAACGACGGCGTTCTTAACAAAGGTGAGTGCAACTTTACAGAACTTCTGAAATGAATTATCCAAGTGTTGGCAGACTGAAAAGAGGATTAGGAATGTCTAATACAATAGGTTAAAGAGTCTACATGCTATCTTACTAGACCAGCCTTACTTACACTGCAGCTAATGGACTGTTTTGTTTGTCTTTCCATCGCAGATGCCTGGCGGATTTCATTCTCCCACATTGAGAAGGATATTATAAAGAAACATGGATCGGAGAAGACATGCTGTGAAAGAGGGGGAGCAAGCTGCTGCAGGCAAGACTGCTTACACATATTTTGCAAACACTATTTTTTTTTATGTAATTAACATAATTACAGAATTAAAAACAGCCTCGGCAAAAGATATAACCAGATTTTCTTTGATGGAAAATCCAGGCCCTCTGATAACATATTTTTTTTAATCACGTGTGGGATTCATAATCTCAAAACGTTTTTCAGTTCTTTATCAATTCTCAAGTGTATTTATTCGAGTTTTTTTTTTTTAATCCAGAAAACACTGTCTGAAGCTCCTCAAGCATCTCCTGCATCTGCTGAAGGAAAACGACCCTTCATTTGCCAAGTTCTGCTCCTACCACGCCAAGACGACGCTCCTGCACGCCTGCTGCTCCAGAACCAGAGACAGCGACTGGGGAGCGTCAGATCTCAGTCGGTGCTTCGGCCTGCTCCTGCAGGACTTCGAAAGCCACCTGAGACGTGGTGAACTCTACAACTTCTTCATCCCCAGTCAGAACCTTCTCTCTGGTCTGGGGAAAACCCGCTGCAAGCATTTGGCAGACTGCGTCAAGGAGCAACGAGAAAGCGGCTTCCCCATCTTTGACACATATCTTCAAAATCCATGTTAAGCAATAGATCGGGGAATTCTGATCCCGAGCTCAACGTTCATGTCAGATCAATTTCACTGATGTGAGAGAGATTTTACTGGGGGGTTTTTTCCTGTTAAAATACAAAACAAAAAAACTAAATTATTTAAATATTTCTTTTTTATTAAATATTTAAAGAAACGGAGTTTCTATTGCTTCCACTAATTCCTCTTAAGAAACACTATATAAACACATTTACAGTCGCAGTAGTTATTTTTACGTCACATAGATCTGCTTTTAATATTACAAAGGTTCAGGGGTTTATTAACATTTGAATGAAATATATTCATAATCAGCAGATTAACCTACTGCAATGGCCCCAATGAAATCTGCTGTACAAGCGTTAGTTGTCCACCTATTAATTTTTTCCCCCAGTCTACAAACTTATACCAGATTGGTTCTGATTCACAACACGAGATGTTAACCACTCCTATCAACACAATCCCACTCAGGTCCTTGGTGGCTTCGTCTTAGTCGTACCTTGTTCATGAGGTGAAACTGGGTGTTGCAAAGTCATTTTCTTATGTAATCCATTGTGCATATTTGTTTAATGATAAAAAAATACCAGTTACACTAATAATAAAGGGGGAAAAGTCATCTGGTGACTGATATTTATGCACCGTTTAGTTTTTACTAAATGAACCCAAATAAACATTTTACAGTGTAGCCATTTGCATGTTTTGTGGTTGTCTAATGACCAACTCTGCAAAATTTTATTTGGGTGGCATAAAACGATCTCACATTTTGAGTTATAAACCGTCATCTGATTTAAATGTTCTAGGAATACAATTTTCTTCAAATGTGAAATTGAACTTTGGCCCCATCTCCATAAGTTTTGGCATTTTATCAAAGTTCACTGTTATTCAGTTTACCTGTTTTTTTTTTGTGTTTTTTTTTGCAATGCATCACCATCTCCTTCCCTTAGTGACGCATTTATGCTGCTTAATGTCGATGTTTTTCTTTGTAAGATTATAAAATTTGGATTAAAATAAAGTAAAAATAAAAAAGAAACTGAACTCTAGCATTTCTTTGACATGCGGCTCATGTTGTGATTGCGGGCATTACTGGGTGGCCATATATAATCCAACCTGCTCGGGAAGGGGAATAAATCAGTCATTTGTAAAAGATTTCTGATTCCTGATAGAAGGCGAATGGCACACAGCAGTTCTCACAAGACCTTACAGTAATCCACATCTTAAGTTAAATATGTCCAATCCACAAAGATAACTGCTTTATATTACACCAGTTGCATAAATAATAAGAAATAAGCATGTACTGGAATAAAATGTACCTGCAAAACAGGTTAAATAAATTAGCAAAACAGAAACTTACAGCTTTCTTGGTCTCATGGTAATTTATAAGGACGTTAAGAATTACTCATACAAGATAATCATCACAGTCACTGAATGTTACAACATTCAGTGACTTTATGACGTTCACAGAATTTACAGCTTTAAGTTAGTGTTGGAAGGCAATTACATTAGTTACTCTATATGCTGCACAAGAGCCTTCATGCTGTGGGTCAACTAAAATCTTACCTTTGAGTTTGGTAGAAAGGTAATGATTATGAAGTTTTATTTGTTTTGCTTCTTCAGTCTTTTCAAACTTATCGTGACCATGCTGGCCTCTCAGGAGGATTTTGTCTAAGTGTTGGAAGACACTTATAAGATTAGATACTCTACATTCATTGCACCACTGCCTTTTTGCCGTGGTTAAAAGTGAAGAAAAGATAATTTACAGGGTTGGGAAAATAGTAATGTTTTGAAGTTTAATTTATTTTCTTCATCTTTTCAGTCTGCAAAATTCTTGATACAGTGGAAAGACAGGAAGCAATAAAAATTAAACATTTTGTTTTTTTCCTTTACAATTACAGAAAACCTCGACCTTTGTAATTAAATATTTTGAACGACAACTTAAGATGCACACTGGACAGGATGTTTCTTCAAAAAGAGAATTTATTTAACACGTTTCCCCCCCAAAAAAATTCCACACATATTCAGTCTATAGAAACAAGGCTGATGACACAGAAAAAACAAACACTGGACTAAGAACAGTGCAATCTGTTAACCTTTAAACTTGTATGAAAAACAATAATGATGTCTACCTGGCAAAACAGACATTTTTTAAAATAAATTTTAAGCAAAAGAATAAAAAAAAACAACTTATGTACAATCAAAAGAAATTACAGCCAGCTTTAGACTGTATTCCAACCTGCTGAGAAAGAAAAAAAAACAAAATGTCACATTTCCAAAGTAACACAAAAATACATTTTCATTATTTTCTGTTTTTACTAATAGTCTGTGTGTCACATTTTTATTGACGTTCACCAATCTTAATAGTTTAGTGCTGCATGACGGTACATTTTCCTCTTACGTGATAAAATTATTCCACATAAAGAAAGTTAGTTTGCTTTCCTGACAAAAGTATTAGTCAGAGCCTAGTGGTTGCTAAGACTCTTGACAACAGAGCATTAAGTGTTGTGAGAGAGGATGCGATGATGTTTGAATACATTTTTGTGTGGAGGTTAGCTTTAAATTACAACCACTTCCCAGAAACAGTTTTATTTTTGGTGCAGCTCCAGCCTTTCTGCGATATCCACATGTAGGGCTGTGGCAATACACTAACCTCACGATACAATACGCGGTATTGTATATTGTGATACAATATGATATTATTCAATACATTTTTATGATTTTATGAAAGATTTTAGAGAAAAAGTGATTTTGGTGACATTTTGTGACTGTTCCACAGACTTGCATTGAATTAATTTAATAGATGTTTTTGTTATACATTTGCTTTGTTAAAATGCTAATTGTGTGACTTTGTGTATTTGCTTATGCAGACAAGAAACTTTTTTTTATGTCTTATTCACTTATATTATACAATGTAATTTATCCATTTTGTTGTTTCACTGTATGTCATTTTTAATGTACATGTGCAACTGGGTAAAAAATGTCATGTGTGATAGCTGTCATTTCATTCATGTGAATTTGACACAAAACAAAGTAGGATTTAATGCATCGATACTCGCAGATGAAAAATCGATACTTTTTGAAGAAAAAAAAATATCGATAAATATCATACAATTACACAGTCCTATTCACATGGTTGTTTAGCGTAGGGGTGTTCACATCCAGTCCTTGAGAGATACCGTCAGATGCATCCATACTCCAACAGACTGGGATCAGCTCTGAACAGGCCTGAGAACGAGCCATTCATTTGATTCAGGTGTGTTGGAGCAGGGAAGCATCTGAAAGTTGCAGGACGGCAGCTCTCGAGGACTGGATCTGAGCTTTAGAGAGCGTGCAAACTTACATCTCCAGAGATTAGAATCGCCAGTTTTGGCCTCTGTCATTGCCGTCTCTCCGTCCACCGCCTCCTCTTCCACCCCATCCATGTCCTCTTGGAGTATACATCTCTCTCTCCATCTTGTGCTTCTCGTATCTCTCTGCCATCAGCACCAAGTCTTCTGGGACGTCCTGAAACAACATCATGTGATGTGGGTTGCTACCCAACATTTACACATTCAGATACTACACCAAATGCCAGCATTGTTAGTGTCTTCCCTTAAATGTTGCATATATAATTTAGATTTCATATCATTACAAGTCAGTTACATCAATGTCATTGAATAACCTTCCTTTGTTGACTGATATACATACATTTATTGGTCAGTGTTTAGGGCAACACTTTTCAGTATTGATATTTTCCATTTAAACCTTCTGATAAACAATTTGCAAGTATTTACTTGTCCTGCTCTCTCCAGGATAGAAATCAGCTCTGCGGCCATCCTCCAGTTATCTCTAGTTAACAGAGTAACGGCAGCACCGGATCGTCTGGAATAAAAATGCATCCCCGTCACAACTAACCCAGAGTAAGCCAAAGGTTACGCATGTAGATGGTTAACACCGTCGATCTCTTACCCTGCTCGGCCTGTTCGGCCCACACGGTGGACGTACTCTTCAATGTTTCTTGGGAAGTCGTAGTTAAAAACATGCGTGATGTCATGGACATCCAACCCTCTGGAGGCCAGATCTGTGGCGACCAGGATGCGAACCCGACCTGAAAAAGTGAACACAAACACTAAGGGTGCATTCACACCAGCCCTGCGTAGTCTGCTTTAATTGAACTCTGGTTTGTTTGCCTTTAAAGTCCAGTTTGTTTGGAGAGGTCTGAATGTGCAATCAAACTCTGACGGGAAACAAAAAAAAGCGAATTCTGGTGTAGTTTGAATTTTTATGTAAATTCTAAGCGGACTGGAAACCGCCCCAAAAGCAGGAAGTGGACTATAACGCAGGGAATTCTAGGTAAATAAACCCAAAACAAAGTCTAGCAAAATTCAATGTATTTTTCTGTTAATTAATGTGGTAGACCAGCAGTTCCTTAATTGGGAAGTGGAAGGAAATGGTTCAAGCCTTTTACGAGTAAAAACCTAAATATTGTGGCATGCATTTGTATTATGCGCCATTAATTTGACCTTTCAAAATCAGTGATTCCCCAACCCCGATCCTCAGGGCACACTGCTCTGTACGTTTAAGGCGTTTCCTTGTTTCAGCCGAGTCGATTTCAATTGATGGCAGATTAACAGGCAATGGCTGAACTGCCATCAGCTGAATCAGGTGCATTAAAGCAGGGAAACATCTACAACATGCAGGACAGCCTGAAGGACCAGGGTTGGGAAACACTGGAACTAAATGAAGTCCGGTGCAACAAATTGCTTTCAAAAAGGACTGGTTTGGGGGGGAAAAGTCTTATTTAACAAAGTATTTATCAATATCAAATCTATTTAAAATATGTCTGATTTAAGATCTATCAAGTGCCACCATGAATGAAATTTACATCAGAAAAAAAACACTCCAAATATAGGAGATGTCTGGGAGAACTTACAGAATTACAATTAAGCACAGCAAACACTGTGAACTCAGCTTTGTGCCCAAGAAAAGGCAAAAAAAGCAGGCTAGAATTAGCAGATAATTACTGATTTTTGTGATTGTAATAATTGAATCACAGAATGCAATGAAGGTGCTCATGTGCACAAAAAAAAGTAGTTTAAGACCTGTAATGAACATATTTAAGGCCAACAGACATTGTTTTAAATTAAATTTTAATCAAACAAATTTAGGACTTTTAAATGTTGAAAATTAATAAATGACGGTTTTCTGACATACTCTCCTTAAAGTCCCGGAGAGCCTCTTCCCGGGAGCTTTGTTCGCGGTCTCCATGGAGACACTGCACAGCAATACCTTGCAGAGACATGTCACTCGACAGGTCGTCTGCACTGGTTTCACAGAAACACAAACACAGAGGGCACACAGTTGGTGCAGGTTCCTACAGTAGTTGTGGCTCATCTTTTAAAAGAAGTGGTCATCTCCTCACTCACGTAATCTTCTTGCCCACAAAGATTAAGACTTTATCCTGGGGTTGCATGTTCCTGATGAAGTCAAAAACATACATCTTTTTCTCCTCCTCCTTAACAATCTCTAGGGTCTGCTGCACCGTGTTTACTGCCTGATGCACAGATGGAGAGACGCAAAGCATGAAGCACGGGGAAACAAAAGACGAAATAAAAGTGAAGCACAAACAGAATGTTTTCACTTCCTCTTACAGCCAAGTCCAGAGTTCCCACATAAACCATCATGGGATTCTTTAAATAGGATTTAGCCAATCTTCTTACACCTGTGGGCCAGGTGGCACTGAAACATGAAGCCAACAATAGCAGTTCAGTTTTCAGTCTTTTACATCATACATTTGATATTAAATTGGGAAGGAAACTGAAACACCAGGAAGAATATTTACAGTTAGCTAAGAATAAGCAGTGAAAGGATTCTTTACATTACTTTCTATTGTTAGAAACATCCTTAAATGTCTGATTAAATTATATCTGATGATTCTCAAAATCCAACTTCTTTTCAGCCATGATGAAACATTTTTATGTTCATAAACACAGATTACTCCAGCAAAGCTATTTTGGCCAACCCCTCAAGAGCTGCCCTATCTTCTTTGCTTTGGATTAAGT